TAACATCACACAGTATTAACTCAACATATTTTAATGTAAAACTAACTAGTTGTATGACCTCTAAACCTCGTGTCGCCTCATTAAATTGACACTGTTAGCTTTGCATGGGAGTTACAAAATTTTCCTTGGCCCATATTCTACAATGCGGAGATATGAATTTGTAAGTTTACATAACAGGGATAAGCAAGACGAAAGGGATGGATTTTGCAGCTGCTTGCAAAATCTTGTTTGTTTCTGCATAATTAACTGCAACGTGGAACGAATCTCAGGTTGAGCGTTCGCGCATTTTGATAATTATAAGCAAAACACAAACAACATCGCGACATTATGTAATTGTCAAGCATACGCATAGTTTTATTAATATCCTTATGTTTAATAATTCTTGCAATTTATAGTTTTTCAATTATTTTAATATTAACGCTCATTTGTTTGATTCATTTTAATTATTATGTATGTACTATGTCAGTTCTAGCGTAATCTTTTTGAACATCAAGTAAATGTGTTAAAAAGATTTCCTACATAAAATTCATGCTCCCATCTCGGAATCGTTTCAAGGAATATTAAAAACCATATCGCGGAAGTATCAGTTCGCCTGATTACACAGCAGAATGAGGAGCAGAGGAAACAGTCTTTCCCTTTCCACTCGTTTAGCATAATGCGATTACTTGAACGTAAAGAATTGGAATCGCGCTCACTTAAGTTTCTTAGCAACGGCTTATCGGAACTGGAATACGAAATTTGCCGTAGTGAATCATAGGGTTAACAATAACAGGAACGCGGCCCCCAAATACGTGGGCACGGGGCCAAATGCGCTCATTATTTTGATCGTCGTGATAATATTTATTGTTGCGGAAACGCGCGACTGCGGAAACATCATTTAAACCATGAAACACTATGAGATTAGAATTAGAAGCATTATTACCTATCACATCTTTCAATTTAATTATTACTATAATTAAATATTGTTGGTTAATGAAAAAATCTAGCAATATTGTAATCAGACATTTTTTCAAGTACGCTTCACACTCTGCATTATGATACACAACTTACTCATTATATGTACATATGTACATAACGAT